ACCCTTATCTCAAGAGGTTTTGATCTAATGTAATGTTGAGAACAAGCAATACACGGCTTTGATTACCATATCTAGTCTGCTTGAATTCCTTAAGGTCCTCATATGTGAGGCCTTGATAATCTTCAGAATACTGAACTCTGAAGCCAACCTGTGAAGGGAAACCAGTGTATAGGTGACATAAACTGCAGAGCATACAATAACCCATATGATTTTCTATTTCCACCATAATATGATCGACCAAATAAAAAACTAGCAATCCAGAATTTTTTTAAAGAGCAATATTAATTTAAACATAAGTCACCCAAGCATGAAAAATCAATTTTGTTCCTCTGGATTAGAGCAAACCAATAGAAACGGCCATATTGTTCAACAACGAGCTTCAAATATTCTTGAAAGAGTAAAAATTTAGAGTGGCTAACAAAACGAATTTGAGTGGTATCTGATGACTCACTCACCAAAGATACAAGGCTCTGATAGGCTGGCTGAAAGATATGTAGTCTTCGGTTTCTCTCAGCTTCAATGGATGCTTCACTACCCAAGGAACTATAAGAATCCCTGATAGATTAAAAATCACACTGTCAGCATATGACCCTAGGAACACCCAACAAACATAGACAAGGCTGAAGTTACCTCTTTGTCAACATAAGTTGAAGACTGTGCCAAAAGTTGAAGGTCATCGAGGCTATATCAAATTCTGGGTGTGCAGTAACTTCCAGCAGGGCATGCACAATAACCATTGATTCATCTGAACCTAGAGGCCAGAAATAGTACCTTCGAACATATTAGATTACCAGCTAAAGCATTTTGCGCACCAAAAGCAATCAAGACACATGAAACAGAAAACTTAAAATAACAAGACAGAGAAGCAGAAATGAGGCCGTATACCAGTAGCTATCAGTTCAACATATGAATCGCCTACGTCAGCGAATAATCGACCAATGGCTTTGACATCTTCTTCATCCTGAAAGTGAGATAATTCTAAGAATCAAAAGAAAAAAATACAAACACATGCCAAAAATTACAACTAATTATGAGGGATATCTTTAGCCACATATCCAAGTCATATAAACCGAAAATAACTCTTTTTTAATTAAGTTAAAACAAATATAGGCCATTAGCTTCCTACTATTTGATGCATCTGATAACATTTTCCCTTAATAGAGTCCAGAAGCAACAGAATCATAGCCGTCAACCCACAGACCAGTGAAACAGAAAATTTGTGAGATAATTAAGCTTAATATCATGCAGATTCAGCCATCAACTTGTATCAATACCAAAGGTAAACAGTACCTTTGAAGAATCCCTTAGATGGGCCTTAAGACTTAAAATCTGAGGCACAATAACTTGAATCAAGGGTGTTTGTGCAGAAATACCACCAGAACTTGGTGATGCTGTGTGATGTATCAATTCAGAGATAACTGCGAAGTTGAAAATGAAGTTTATCTATTAAGACTCTAATAATGAATTCTAAATTGAAGAAGGAAACATTGACTTGTAGAAGGCTTTTTCTATTTGATAAAGAATAAAAAAATTCTTGCTCATTATAATGAAGGTGAAAAAAACATCTTAAGGCAATACAGTATACCCACCCCAAGACACATCAAACACTAATTTCCACAATTCAACAAGAAAAGCTTAACAACCAATTTCTAGAAGCTCTATTTGCAAATTCTCGAACTTAGCATATTCCAACTATGAGACAACAGGTATGATAGAAATTCCGCAGCTCTCATAGAGTTCCAATACCAGACATATTTCCAGGCCAAAAAATATCAATGTGAAGTATTCCAAGACTCTAAAGGCCTATATATATATTAGCTTTTCCAACGAGTATACCATTCACAGATGCCTCTGAGAGTGGATCACAGTTAAAACTTGAGAGAGCTGCATGCACCAATGGATGACCGGCAAGCACTGCTCCAGGAATCCTGAGAAAGACCACCCCAAAGTTTACCAGCATACAGTTCAGTCAGTATCATCATTGCTAAGTTGAATTGGTGAAAATAGTCAAGGATAGCAAGTAGAAACCAACAGCAATGAATCAGATAAACTTAACTCTGTGTCTAAGAGATTCCATATAGGACAAAATCTATGACCCATATATTAAAACAGTTAACAACCTGACGAACTCGCAAAGAATATTTGTAATCTAGACGAGCTTTTGTTCTAAATAAAACTGGAGATAGAACAGCAAAAGAAAAGAGCATACCCATGCCTAAGACGGAGCCAAGAAGCAAATGCCTCGAGAACCTGAAAAATCAAAATTACAGAACACAATTGACAATAAGTGAATTCTTGCAACACCAAAGACACTAGCTGGTCCAACACACAGGAGCACGGGACATTTTTCAGAAGCTAACAATAATGCAAGAAGAAATATAAAATTTTGGTAGGTGAGTGAAAACCTAAGATGTAATCAAGCTTTTACATGAAACTAGCAATAATGTTTTTAGAAGGCAAACATAGACGTTGACTGGTAAAGCAAGCATAAATTGGTGTAAAGTAAAAAACCCATACATGCATCAGAAACATAGAAAAGGTTCTTTAAATGTGTCATACAGAGGGATCATGGAAAGTGAATAACAAACTATCTATTGAACTATGTCACGACTCTATATTAAAGATAAGCTCTGACCTGTTCCTTAAGTTCGGTTATATTCAAACATGCTGTTAAGATACTAAGTGCAGCATCCATTTGAGAAGTAAGCTCGTTTTCGAATTGACGTCGTCGATCCGGACGAGCAGCTATTTTGTAGTTAAACGTTTCCTGGTCATAGCAAGAAGGACAATAAAAAAACAAGACATCATATAACCATCTAGATTAAAGGTAAACATCCCTAAAGAGAATCAAGTTAATGAAAGGGAAAAGTGGTAAGATAAGGCAGAGATTTGGGAAAAATGTGGCAGAGATTTGGGAAAAAATTATAGAATTTCATTTAATTACAATTAAACTATCAACAGTTTTTGCAAATAGGACCATACAAAATAGAAAGGTCTTGTCTAGCCAATACTTAAGGGATTGAAATAACACTTAAAAGAGTAACTTAGAATACTACTTGAACATAATAACGCTAACAGTAAAAAGGTACAGAATATTCTCAAAATAGGTCTACCCATTTTGAGGTCAGTAATACCAGCATAACTAAGAAGTAAGCAGATCCAAGTCAGACCAAATAAGGCCTTTCATATCTATATAGCCGGATACATGAATTCACTTTAATTACTGAGTGAGATAAACACTTAAACAAAGGAATGAAAAATACTCTACCTCGGGCAAAACCGTCAAGAGTTCCAAGAAACCAGGCACATATTCAGGATGCATGTTCATCTCATCCCTAAGCCAGCTAATTATACCGCCATCTCCCCAATCTGCCGCAGGAACATGCACCGCCAAGGCAGCAACAGCAATACTAATCTACAATATAAGATACTTAAATAAGATAACTCGACACAAAGTACATGACTTTACACGCACAACGAAAATTACCGCATATGCATAATGGAGAATGATTTATGAAGCTTACCTGGGTCCTAACTTTTGGGGGGCCTTTGTGGAACTTTTTTAACAATGTCTGCATTTGAGAAAATAATGAAAGTCAAATTTTTCCGGGAAGACTAAGTAAGTACTTGTTCAATACCAAGAATACTAGGCCAGAAAAATGAAATCATAGTAAAACCGAGATGCCAGAATACACTAGGCAAAACACTAGTTCAACTGAGTTTTCCTATTACACTATTGCTCAAAGGAACAGACATACATAAATATTCAGAAACCCTACAACTCATGAAAAATTAGCTAATGGAACGAAGACTTACCGTTAATGATTGCCGTAGCTTCTGAAAAGCCCCAGGTGGTAGTTCTTCAAAATCTCGTTGAACCTTCGAGTAAGACAGATTGATTGTCAACAGAGTGCAGTCTCCAAGATTTTGTGATAAATGAATAACGATTGACAGAAAATTTCAAGTGCATTTACCTTGCTTCGAAGGGTCTGAGAACAGAATATTAAAGTTTCCAAATTGCTAGACGAATCATGGAGTAAATTATCCGCAACCTAGAATAATTACAACAGTACAGAGTAAGAAACATTGTAAAACTGCTCCACCAAAAAATCCTCTTCTCCGCATTAACAATCATGGGTCTAAAAGACTACTGGAAGAGCTCATAAAACCTAGCAAATCGTTTCTGTAACAAGGTAGATCTATTCACACACCTAACACATACTTCTTCAAACCAGCTACATATTGAACTTACATGTACTGAAAAATTGAGATTTCTGCTATGCATAAGACTAAATGACCTTAAAGAGCGAATCGTTAATACAAATTGACTAAAAGGATGAAACTTTATGCACCTATATGGTCTAAAGTAGCTGAGAATCGAATATTAAAGCTCTAAGACAAGTGCTATAAAACAAGGAAGAACAAATCGAACCCAGACAAATCGAGATTAAACACCCGACTGATAAAATTAAACAAATGAAATCGAAAAGAAAAACTAGCCTGCCAAGCATCGAGAGTTCCTTGGAAGGTCTGGAGCCAGCGATCAGCTTGGACACGCACTGTATCATCCGGGTGATGATACAGTGCGTTTAGGGCTTCTTTGACCGCGTTCTGATGCTCCATAGCTATAATCCTTACGCGTTTTTTGCTTGTATGGCCACCAAATCACGACCACAGAGAGAAAAAGACCCAGATTGAGAAAGAGAAGAATTTGCCCAACTGAAATTCGGGATTTTGTCAAATCGATTTCGCCCAACAAAAAAAGGATTTATTTTTTTTCCCTCTTTGTCAAAAGGGTTTTTTTTTTTGGCGCCCCTCAAGTTGAGTGAGAGAGAAAGAGAAAGAGATCGAATTTTCGGATTTTTGATCTGAATGGGGATGAAGAAGATAGAATCTCAGCCGTTAGATCTGATTACTTTGACTTTAAGTCAAATCCTTCTTTTTAATCTGAAGATAAAAGTTGTTTACTTTTCAGTTGTTGAAAATTTGCAATAGATTATGAAAAAACGTATCATTGATTCATCACAACATAAAGATTGTACAAAGAATAAGATTTGAGATGAGAGCAATATATGAGATCTATTGTGTCACTGAATCAATCGTTACATGTTATAACAGAATACAACAATGTTTTATAAAGTGTTAATCTCTCTGGTCACTCTCATATCTATCTTATGATATAACAGCAAAATGATACACACATAGGAAAAAAATAAAGGGTTGCATTCATTTTTACTGCCTACAAAACACATCCATCAATCAGATAAAGATTTTTTTTTTATGTGGTTCGGTTATAGTTTCCATCAACCTGCATATGGAGCCACTCCGGTTGAGATACTCGGGTTTCGTTAGCTTCTTGTTGCTCATATATTGTTCGATGAACGTCAATCGGTAAAGTCCCGAGCTGATACAACACCAAGAGCTTTTAGATTTAGTAGTTTCGATTAAGAATATGTTCTTTCAGATTTGGGACTTACATCACCAGAAGGAAAAACTCCTATTGTTGGACCAGTACTTGCACCTGAGTTAACAACTTCTAGCTTCATTGACAGAAACTGTAGACCAAATTCCATGTTTAGACATGTACAATTGAAACATATGACAGAGAGGTGTTTACAATTTTTACCTCAACTTGCCGCTGCAATGACTGAATATAATTGATAATCTCATCGAGCACAAGGGCTTTTCCAATTATCTGAATCAATGGAAATATTTTGTTGAGTGTTTAAAGGCTAGACGAATAACATCAGAACATCATTCACAAGACCAATAGAACATGTACCTTATTACATCCCGGAATTATATCTTGAAGAGCTGTCATCTTCTCACTGATCTTTTCTCTTCTAGCCTGTTAAAGACAACACTGTGATTCTAATAAAAGGAACACGTTTTGAGGATAAAATATTTGGTGATTTAGCAGAAGAATTACTCGCTCTGCTAGACTATGCCGGTCAGTAGCTTGTCCTCTTCTTGCTCTCACATGGATATAATCCTTTGGTGGCTCAGGTTTGTTCTTCTGTTCCGTTGCTTTGCTTCCACCACCACCACCCGAACTTGTTTCGCCTTCAGGTCTCATCGAACCATCTCCATTTCCACTTTCAGATCCACAAAGTTTTCTTTTCTTATCGCCTGATTCTTTCTATTAAAAAAGCAAACAGATAGAAATGCTTAAGATCCTAAATCAAACTCTCGATCTAAGATCACTAAAGTGATATACAGAGAGAAACAATAAGCATTGACCATTCCAACATCTATCAAACAAATGGTCTTCAAGCTCAATCCAACTAAGTCAAAAAGTCAATGGATATAAGTCATCTAATCTATAAACTAATCCTTGATCCCTAAATCAAAGACTTATGCTTTGACTCATTGATTTCTTAGATCACCTCCAAGCTAAGGATCTAGATTCAAACTTTAGTTACAGATTCATATACTCACAAGACCCAACAAATCAAAATCAGGGCTTTTCAAAAATTGAAGTGCAAAAGCTCACCAATTCATTACCACTGCTGCTGGAAGAAACCACCTTTGAAGAATCGTCCTCAGAGTTCAAATCTCTAGTCTTTCTAGCTCCCCAGCCAGCAGTTAGATCGGTGACAGTAGATTCCTCCGCCGCGGAGACGTCTTTATTGCCGGAATGTTCAGACCGAGTAAAGACTCGACCGGAGTTAACAGCTAAACGGAGACCAGAGCGAACGGCGTCGTTTACAGGAAAAGGCCAAATCTCGGAGAGAGTGTAAGAAGAAGGATTAGCTGCGGAGAAGGAGGAATCGTTCACTAGTGGAGGGTCCATTTCCGATGATCGTAAAAGGGTTGACCCAGATTTAGGACCCGGATCCGAGAAGTGAGGAACTTGATAGAAAAAGAAGGAAAAGGTTTGAGCTTTGCGAGGTCTTGTCGTGTTTATAGGGTTGTGTATGAGGTGGACAAATAGAGAGAGAGAGAGATCGGAGAAGGTAAGAGATATGAGGGAAGTGATAATGCGCCACTAAGATGCAATGGAAGACAAATCTCTTTTAATTACACAGTTTTGTTGATTTTTTTTTTTTTTTTTTTTTTTTTTGAACACTACACAGTTTTGTTGATAAAAATTACAACTATACAAACAAAATGTTTAGAGAAAAAAATATGAGAACAGAAAATGATGAGAAAATTATTGAATAAAATAGGTAGATTTATACGATGACCGAAATAATTTTAAAATTAACCAAAGTAACCACCTCACATAACTAAACTTTCTTTAGTAATCCTTGATTGATACTATATTCTTTTAATCAAAGTTATCATTTAATCCAAGTGATATTCATTAGTTCTTTTTTTCTAATTAGAGTTAAAAAGTTTTTTTTACGAGACAAAGTCTTTGTAGTGAACCAGTAATTTTCTGAAATAATGTGGAAAGAGCATTAAGTGGCAATGATCTAAGTGTATAGTGAGATCTATCATCTCTTCAAATGTCAACGAAAATCTAAAAGAATATTACCAGAACTGTTCCACCGCCGGTATTGGAGTCTTCTGCTACTTTCATTTCTTGTTGAAATCGAAGATTTTGCTTCTGATAAAGTCTTCTTTGTTCCTCATCAGCCAAGTGGAAACCTTCTTAATGACAAGAGAGTCTTGGACTTACAGATCTTCTTGATGTTTTTATTCAACGTCTCATCATTTTAACCAAAAATAAGTTAAATATTAAGTTGTTCTTGATTTGTTTTTTTTTCAGTCCTTTCGCTTTTTCTTAATTAATAAAAAATAGAATTAGGGAGTCTAATGATGTGGGTTCTTTTCTTGGTGAGTTCTTTTTTGTGAATTGTTACAAGATGATGAGCCTAAACAACGGCTTTATATAAGCAATGAAATTACAAAGTTTTGGCTGTTTAGAGATTGAGAAGAAACTTACGTCCATATAAAAAACCTCGCACTGTCAAGAATCAAGATCATCAAAGTCCTTTGCTTACGTCAATTACTTTGCTTTGTATAAATACATTAATTTTTAGATATATAATCTTAACATCAACCATCTGTGAGATTTATGTGCATAACATAAATAATTTGTTGAGGTTTTCTGATCATGTCTGTAAATTTTGATAATGTTATTTTTTATGTGCATGATAGAAATAATTTATGCTACTTCATATTGTTGGATTTTATCTCTACTTCTATTGAATATTTATCTTGATCTAGGTACTTTTCATATTTGTAAAGAGATGCAAGAGATGCTGCTTGAAATTCCTACATCTTTTTTTGATTTCGTTTTCGTGTTGTTAGATGATCAATTCTGCTTGTGATGATTTTTATTTTGTGAGATGATTATAGAAGATAACAACTCACATTGATACTTGAAATTCCTAGATAAATTTGTATAGCCAAAAAATGCATTGGGTCTTCGTACTGGGAGCTGAAGGTTCCTGGAAAAGAATTACGTTTGATCATGTTCATTTTCCTAAAGGACTGCCTTGATCACATAACAAAAAACTTGTTCAGAAATCTATCTCTGATTCTGTTTTATCTGTTCCAGCGGCAAACCGGAGAAGATGGTATCCAGACTTGAGGCACACATGCAGTAGGAACACACTGAGGAAAAACATATATTATATGCCCTAAGTGAAGCACATGCTGTTCAATGTTTCATTGGACTACATTGGCCTATAAACATTCGATTTCTTATGTTCTATTTTCGCCAAATAATCTTAGCCTCAACAACATTGGCTTAAACTTTGGTGACTCCTAGGCTTTATCTTTCATTCCATTGTTCATGTTAACAACTTTTAGCATTATACTTCATCTCGTAAACTTTCAATACATTTAGGCTTGGCAATAATAACTGTAGACAAAAATAAATAAAAAATCTCTTCCTATGACTAGAAATTTATATTTTACCTAAAATATGATGTCAAATTTTAATCACGATGTGAAATTAGATGATTTTTGTTTAAATAATTTATAACATGAGCAAGGCTTCAATAAAATGTTTATCTTCTATGTCTCTTTTTTTTTCTTAAAAAAATATCCACTGTTAGCTCTTGAGCATATACCGTCTTTCAAGTACTACCAGTTGTTCATCTTAAGTTCTTAACCGTTTGTTCTTGATATTTTACCGTGAACAACTTAAAATCACAAAACGACCATGCATCTCTTATAATCACTAGAAACTATTATAATTTGATTAAACAGCTTATCATAATAAGCCCGGCAAAACCTCACCCAAAAAAAAAAAAAATAATCCCGGCAAAACATGCATATTAGCAAAAACAAATCGTGTTACTTGGGTTTCATTATGACGTTTAAGAAAAAGGTCTATGTTTAGATTATTAATTTTTGATCTTCGTACCATTTGTCCATCCTAATAAGTCGGCTATGTTTACAATAATATTCGCGGTTCACCAATTGGTTTCTATATAGATCTCCTTCCCACTTAATAGTGATATGTTTATGAAAGTTAGTTGTAACATGTAAATATGATCTATTCAAAAACAACATGTAAATATGATCAAGTGGAGGGAACCACACACCGGTACGTTGGATATATACGATCGAGGTCCGAGGATGTGATAATGGACCATACATTAAAATTTTAAATGCTTAATCACAAAAGCCAAATTCTAGCTAGCTAATAAATATATAAAACGCTAACATGAATGATAGATTGATAGATATGACATGTTTTAGTCTTTTTGTTTGTTTGTCGACGTTCTTCATAGTTTAACTTTTCAAAGGTAGTTGCGAAAAAATACAAAGGCCCAAGAGTGTCATTTTTCGTTTCGATGATTTCAAGTTCAACCTTGCATGCTTAACAAAGATCACCTTCTCATTTTCCCAATCCGAACATTAATTGTGTTTGTTTTAAAATTTCGTATTTTATAAATTAATTATGAATATAAAATATCAACGTTTTAAAACAATTTATAACAAAAAAGGCCTATTCATTGAATTATAACTTAAAAGTCAATTCTATACCATTGACTTCATCGTTTGAATGCTCTAAATGTGTAGCACGAAAAAGTTCTTCTCAATAATTAAAGACCAAACAAATTAGAAATTGATCTTTTTGGGCAATTTTTCAAAAAAAAATTTATTGTTAATTATACAGAAAATCGAATTAAGTGGAATGGGTTTTTATTTAGATGAATAATAATATAAAGGTGGAAAAGACAAGTGGAGAAAGAGAAGACACCTGGATGCAAAGGTGTCACACATGAAGCCCAATTCCTTTGTTTCCATTTTCCCATAAAGCCTTTGGTGGTCCACTTTTATTTTTTCCTCTAATTTTCTTAAACAAGAAACACTAATTTGATTATCAAGAAACACTTCCTTTGTTGTTGCACAAAAAAAAAAATTAATTATTAGTTTGGTCTTAAAATTTAGAAATAAAAGAGAAAAGTCAAAAATAACATGAGAATAGGAGTCCTTTGTGACTTCATTGGTGATGCAATGACACAGTTGGCCGATTTAGCACCGACTACAGTAGACATTAATCAATAATATTTTAAATTTTCAAAATAAGAATCGTATCTACTAAAAAATCAAATACGATCATTATTGTTAAAATTCATATATTAATAGCTAATCATTTTACATTCTGTCTCGTGTAATCAAGATGACAACTTTTATTTGCTTAACCTGAAAAATCTTTATACTTAATTCGGACCGTTTTTTTCTATTGGTGGAACTAATTAGCCAATATTTTAAGATTACTTTAAATCCCACCGTTTCAATAAAGATAAATCCAACGAATCTATAACTTTAATCGAAAACTAAATTAAATAAGGAAAAAAAGAAAGATTTAAAAGCGAAGAAAAGATTCGAAAAAGAGAGAGATGGACCAAAACGGCGGTTTATTCGGACGTCAGCAGCACTAACTAAGAAAGAAGAGAGGCTTAAGGCTCTTCTCTTCTCTTCTTCCTTTTGCTTCCTTCTCCAGATTTTCCTGACGCGTCTCTCTTTCTCTCTAGAAGACTAAAATTTTTCCTTTTTTGCGTTTCTTGTGGGTTTTGAATTTTCTAACCAAAGATTTGTCTTTTCCAAGGAAAGTTCTTGATTTTTTCTCTTCGTGTTTTAAGGGTTTTTTCAATTTAAACCTTTTTAATCTCCGAATTTTTAGTAACCTAACTACACCAATCTACTGATTGTTTCCGTTCATCGTGATTTCTCAAGATTTAGTTTTTTTTTTTTTTTGAAATTTTGAATTTGGAGATTTTTCTGTTCCTCTTTGATCATCATTCATCACTAGGGTTTCTGTTTCCAGTAAAAAAGTTTGGATTTTTCTTCGTATAATTTAGGAATGAGGAAGCCCAAGTTATCGAAACTCGAGAGGTTAGAGAAATTCGACATGTTCGTCTCTCTTAGCAAGCAGAGATCTGTTCAGATACTAATGGCGGTTGGGTTACTCTACATGCTTCTCATCACATTCGAAATCCCTTTCGTCTTCAAAACCGGGCTTAGTTCTTTGTCTCAGGATCCGTTAACCCGACCCGAGAAGCATAATAGCCAACGAGAATTACAAGAGAGACGAGCTCCGAGTCGACCTTTTAAGAGTCTGCTTTACCAGGAATCACAATCGGAAGCACCGGCTCAAGGTTTAAGAAGGAGGACTCGGATCTTATCTAGTTTGAGATTTGACCCGGAAACGTTTAACCCGAGTAGCAAAGATGGGTCAGTGGAGCTTCACAAATCCGCTAAGGTAGCTTGGGAAGTTGGTCGAAAGATATGGGAAGAGCTTGAGTCTGGGAAAATGTTGAAAGCTTTGGAGAAGGAGAAGAAGAAGAAGATTGAGGAACATGGGTCAAGCTCGTGTTCTCTCTCTGTTTCCTTAACCGGGTCTGATCTTTCGAAACGTGGGAATCTCATGGAGCTTCCATGTGGTTTAACTCTTGGGTCACATATTACAGTGGTTGGGAAGCCACGAGCTGCTCATTCAGAGAAGGACCCGAAGATATCGATGGTAAAGGAAGGAGATGAAGCTGTTAAGGTTTCACAGTTTAAGTTGGAGCTTCAAGGTTTGAAAGCAGTGGAAGGAGAAGAGCCACCTCGGATACTCCACTTGAATCCAAGGCTTAAGGGTGATTGGAGTGGTAAGCCTGTCATTGAGCAGAACACTTGTTATAGAATGCAATGGGGCTCAGCACAAAGATGTGAAGGATGGAGATCTAGGGATGATGAAGAGACTGGTTAGTATATATGGTCAAAAGCATTTACCTTTCATCTGTTATTTTGCTTGATTTTTGTGTTGGTGATACTGATTAGTGATAATGGTTGTAGTTGATGGTCAGGTTAAGTGCGAGAAATGGGCTCGGGATGATAGCATTACATCTAAAGAAGAGTCTAGCAAGGCGGCTTCATGGTGGCTTAGTCGATTAATAGGTCGGAGCAAGAAAGTAACTGTTGAATGGCCATTTCCATTCACAGTTGACAAGCTTTTTGTGCTTACACTTAGTGCTGGATTGGAAGGTTATCATGTTAGTGTCGATGGGAAGCATGTTACGTCCTTTCCATACCGAACTGTAAGTGATGTTTTGGCATGACTTAAACTTCTTGTGGTTCGATTAGTGATTGGCGTGAACTGATGATTGTCTATGTGGGTGTTCTTTTGGCTATATATGAAGGGATTTACGCTTGAGGATGCTACTGGTCTAACCATTAACGGGGACATAGATGTTCACTCGGTTTTCGCTGGCTCTCTCCCAACCTCGCATCCTAGTTTTGCTCCTCAGAGGCATCTTGAGCTCTCGAGCAATTGGCAAGCCCCATCACTTCCTGATGAGCAAGTTGATATGTTCATTGGTATCCTTTCTGCTGGTAACCATTTTGCTGAGCGGATGGCTGTGAGAAGGTCGTGGATGCAACATAAACTCGTTAAATCTTCCAAAGTAGTGGCTCGGTTCTTTGTTGCACTGGTAAGTTTTTACTAATTTACAACTGATCTGGTCTGATCTTGGTCTTCTAAGAGCTTTACATATTGAATTGCAAGCTAAACTCAGGTGTTTATTTGGGCAGCACTCGAGGAAAGAAGTAAATGTGGAGCTAAAGAAGGAAGCTGAATTCTTCGGTGACATAGTTATAGTCCCTTACATGGACAGTTATGACCTTGTCGTCCTCAAAACCGTTGCAATTTGCGAGTACGGGGTGAGTCCCACTGATTCTAAGATTCAACACTTGATGCTGTGTTTTCAATTATTCAATATAGGTAAAGAGTTTCTCTACTCTTTGTTTTGCAGGCTCATCAACTTGCTGCTAAATTCATCATGAAGTGTGATGATGATACATTTGTACAAGTGGATGCGGTTCTTAGTGAAGCGAAGAGAACACCTGCCGATAGAAGTCTATACATTGGCAACATCAATTATTATCATAAACCACTCCGCCAGGGTAAATGGGCTGTTACGTATGAGGTAAAAAGTTATAATCTTTTTGCTTAAAGAATCATTTGTATCCGTTCTTTCCTCATATGAATTCAAAAGTTAGTGTTACATTATCTGTTTTTCCAGGAATGGCCAGAGGAAGATTATCCACCTTATGCTAATGGCCCTGGATACATATTATCAAACGATATCTCTCGCTTCATAGTGAAAGAGTTTGAGAAACACAAATTAAGGGTACGCTGCAACAGAATTTCCCAATCAACGTTACCTAATCAAATTCGAAACAGAACATATGCATCTATATAACTCTGTCTTTTTTCCTTTCTCTCATTCTTGATACTACAGATGTTCAAAATGGAAGATGTAAGTGTGGGAATGTGGGTAGAACAATTCAACAATGGTACAAAACCGGTGGACTACATTCACAGCCTCAGGTTTTGTCAGTTTGGTTGCATAGAGAATTACTTGACGGCGCATTATCAGTCGCCGAGACAGATGATTTGTTTGTGGGATAAGTTGGTGTTGACAGGCAAACCTCAGTGCTGCAACATGAGATGACACATACCAAATCCTCTGTTTCTCTTTAGTTTATAAGAGAAGAGGGAATAGAAATCCGAAGTTTTTTTTGTTTTTTTTGTTGAGTAGCAGCATTTTATAGCATATATAGCTTTGGTTGTATTATATCAATATCATCTTGATCTTAAGCAACGAATCTAAAATAGATGTTTTCTTTTGGTCGAATTCTCTATTAATATTCATTCTTTCTTTGTTATTTTGAAGATTTAACTCGACAAATCTCGTACTACTACAGTAACTACTATGGTTCTACACTTAAGAGTCTTAATTTAAACGGTTATATATTTGTGCATTTGCTCTTTTTACGCCGAAAAAATGGGTAAAAAAACCCTCACTTTTCTTAAAAACATATTAAAAACCCTCAACTTTTTTTGTGGGTTTTTAAACCCTCATCTTTTCATAAATGGTAAAATAAACCCTATTATTAGTAAACTCAATTTAAATTCAAACAAATAGTTACATTAAAATATAAATAAATATGAACAATTTGATTTAGAAATTTTCTTATAAAATTCTTGCGTACAATCTTTTGCTAAATTAAAAATTTTTAGGTATGATATAGAAAAGTTAATTAATGAAATTGTATTCGGTGTGTTACAAAAATTCATCAACGTGAAACCAAACTGATTTTGTGACGAATGATATATAAATTCTTATACCGAACAAAATATGAGTTTATGTTAATAAAGGTGTATTCAGTTTGATCACACAAATATACTAATGTGAGACCAAACCAAATTTTATAATACTACGAAAAGTACATGAATTTTCACATCAAAATATTTTCGTTGGACGAACTGAATATATATATATATATCACGATATATTAATACTATAATATAAATTACATTTAGTTAATCGTTATTTAACTATATTTTATCCAAAAACTGAAAACTCGAAAAAAAAATCAAATGTGCTATCCTATTAGTTTTTGTAGTTTATATAACTTAACATCTAATGGTAGCAAAAGTTATTTGTCTAATCTCAACTAAATTATGAATGAATTTTTATAGCGCAAAAACCTTAAATTTAAAAAAACAAATTGCAAACGAATATGGGAAAAAAAATCATATATTATTTTTTTTTGTTTCTTACAGTTTTAATATACCGATTTAAAACAATTAAGTTGAGTTTATTAATATTAGGGTTTATTTTACCACTTATGAAAAGATGAGGATTTAAAATCCCACAAAAAAAGTTGAGGGTTTTTTACATGTTTTTAGTAAAGGTGAGGGTTTTTTTACCCATTTTTCCTTTTACGCCTATATAAAGTTTTCGTCTTGCTATTCAATTTGTCTCAAGGCTTATCTCTGTTTATAAAATGCAGTTTTTGGCGGTTGTTAATTCATTTTCTAAGACTTTTACCATTAAATCTACAGTAAAACCTCTATAAATTAATACTCTATAAATTAATAACCTCTCTAAATTAATAAATTCTTCCGGTCCCGATTTGGGACCAGTGTAAAATATGACATAAATCGATAAATTAATAAGATAATAACTTTTTTGAAAATCCCATGTAAATATATGGTCCCATCTATATCATAAATTAATAATTGTATAAACTTATCAATACATATATGTATATTTAACTTAATATATATATGATATAAATTTATATATTTTATATATGAATTACTATGATATATATTTAAAATATTATATGTAATATATTTAATGAAATATGACTCTATTATTCGAAAAAAGTTTGTGTTGATTTTTAAACTTAATAATTACTTTTGTACTTGTAATTGATTTTAAAAATATATTGCTTATAAAGAAAAATTTTATTTTTAGATAGAAATTTTTTAAAAAATTACAAAATTAGTAAAATCTCTCTATAAATTAATAATTATTAATTTATCGATAAAATAATACCTCTCTAAATTAATAAAATTTCATGGTCCCAACATTATTAATTTATAGAGGTTTTACTGTATGTAGTTTGTTTTGGGCAAGAGAGAAAACGATGATGATAAATCTCTCTTGGCTAAACTTTTTTCTGTTGCCACAAAAAAAATTATTGAATGAAGGTGCGATGAGATTTGGGAGTATTTTTGGTGTTTTGATGTCTGATGAAATGTCTTTTTTTTTTTTTTTTATGGTTGGTACACTTTTATGCGAAATTTATGAGATTTTAAAATCAAAGGAACTTCTTAATTTTTCATACTTTGTATGTATATCATAATTTTAAAAAAAAATATTTTAACATCAACCAATTATTTTCAAAGTTGACCCCTACGAAAGAAAAAAATACTACGTAATATTGAAGATATTTTTCTTGTAAAAAATTGAAAAAAAGAATTTTGAATAACATGTAATAAGCCATAATTGATTTTTGCAACATTATTTTAATTCTATAATATGTATATTAGTTTTTTTTTGGCCTCAATATTAATTTCTCTTTTAACTTCTTTTGAAATGATAATTTAGCCCATCCCATTACCGCTTCAATTTATCTCGAGGACTCTAACTAAAGGCAGAGTTTGGGCGCTTAAGCCAAATTCACAATTTTCATTTCGTAAAAATTAAAATCACCATGACAAAGAAACTCGAACTTCTCGCATCCAAGAACTCCAGCAAGAAGGCATGTTCTTTTCTCTTCTCTTTACTACGATTTCATGATCAATTTCTACTGATAAACGATGCTAGAGATTCTAGTAATGATACGGTGATGATTTCAATGTGTGTAAGAGTTTATTTCGTCAATCTTAGTTGTTCATTTCGATTCACTTCAATTTTGATCAAATTCTACTTCTCTTCGATGCTATGGATTCTGGTGACGTTTTCTTTGTGTATGATAGTTTGAATCTAGATCATGATATGCTTATTTTGATTAACCAAGCTTAGAGATTCTATTTTGGTAGCTAACTAGCTACTTTCTCTTTGTTAACTGTTGAATTCGCACTAGATCTGTTTATGATGATTTTTTTTTGATACACTTTAATATCAAATTGACTTTTAATTTTTTCCAATTAATTTGCTTTGTATGTATATCTTAATTTTTAAATATATATTTTAACATCAACCATCTGTGAGATTTATTTGCATGACATAAATAATTTGTTGAGGTTTTCTGATAATGATTGTGCATCGAATCATGACATTAATCAGAAATATATATTTTAACATCAACCATCTGTGAGATTTATGTGCATGACATAAAAATGATCATTCCATTGCTCTAATTTCTCTTTGCTAATTCATGTATATCTTTAGTTCATAACTGAGCCTAGGATAAGTTTGGTGTTGAAATTTTGACAGTTTGAGATAGCAAATCAAAATAGTATGACAAACATTCTTACTTTATTTCTCCAACTGAGATTTGATCTGTTGTGAATATGTTGGTTTATGAGGTATAAATTGTAACAAGCATGTCTGATGCGCTCATAACACTGTTTTTTTTCTTTTTTTTTCCAGATATTAGTTATTTGTATCTCCTTACTGCATCTCTCCCACGCACTGATTCTCAGGTTGTGCACGTCAATGTGGAGCATGGTACATATTGAACTTGATCTTTCTTCTTAGATTTACCTCCGTCGTTTGATATGGTGGATTTTGACTATTAAGCTCTCACTGTTGGGGAGGAGAAGAGGCTGATCACTTATTTTCAAAGAGAATTGTCTCCAAGAAAGAACGCTTCACCTCTGATGAGAAAAATATACATTGGTGTTATTTTTGTCGATTGCCCTCAAAAATATCACTAAAAATGAAAAACAAATAAAAAAATCTAAAAGATTACTTATTCACAGATGTATCAGTTTCCACTATGTTTTGATTTATGCATGGAATCACATAAATAGTTTTAGCCATTGTAGAAACTCCAAGTGGTCTAGTCGTCGGCCGCTGTAAAAGAATTCAAGTTGATTAGTAGAGATTGATGGTAAAAAAGAAAAAAAACTATCAAAAGTTGTAGGGGCAGAAATCGTTCACGTTCTGATAGAGGCCCAATTGTTGGTAGCCCAAAGAGTGTGCATATTATAATCAAAGCGACGCCGTTTTCTTGAGTTTTAAGAAATTGACAGTATTTCCACACCCTAGAATCGTGACTTCACTTCACGTCTTCCTCTGTCTCGCTTCCTGCTCATTTAAGGAGTAGGGATTATTAATTTAGATATATAATTAGTTTGTGGGCGATTGTGAATTAAGACATAAGGTATACCGGATCACTGGTTTAGTAAGCCTGACACCATGTTGAGTTTTTATTTCAAGCATATGGATAAGAGTGAACGCATCATGCATTTGGAAACTTAAATGCCATAACTTGTTTTCTTTCTCTTCCAACCTAAGATTATCATTATCTAATGATTGTTTTTGCCTTAAACAATACAATGCAACTATTAATTTTGTAATTTCTATGTTATCATGTTGCGAACAGACAATCGTTAATTAAATATTTCTTCTTCTTTTGTTTTAATATTATAACTGGCTTAGTTTATCAATTATATGGATGGTTTTTTGGAAAATGATGATGATTCATGAGTTATATATATAATCAGGCCAACATTGTTAATCGCTAAGGTTACATGATCTGAACTCAAATCACAGAACGAGTATACTAGGTATGTTAATCTCATGCTGGATAGAGCCTTTCATTGGCAAAGTTAGCATCTTTCAGTCAATTGCTTTTATATTGACCATGTCATTATCATGGTCGGAGCAAGAGTTGCCGGAATAGAGTTTGTCAGTTGCCATTCCTCTAATCTTTCTTGTCCCTGTAGATAGAAATGTCCCATAATAAGAAAAAATGTTACAATAATTTAAATATGTTGAACAGAATAAAATCAAATTCATTGGTAATTAAGAGATTAAATCGAAGACTGGAACTAATGCAAAGTTGATTACTAATTAATAAGTATTTATTTATTTTGAATAAATCTAAAATTGATTACTATTATATATGTTGACCAAGATTGACTATATAATAGTATATACAGTATTCCGAAACTGGAATGAATGCAAGCATAAAGAAAATCAATATAATCAAAATGGATAACATGGCGTCGAGAAAAATACTTCTTCTTGGCCTTTTGGTGTCTCTTTCATGT